ATCTCTCTCACTCTTTTTCTTTCTTTTTTCTTATTTATTTATTTATTTATTTATTTCTTCCTTTCTTTCTCTTTCTCTCTCTCTCTGTGTCAGTCTGTCTGTCTCTCTCTCTGTGTGTGTGTGTGTGTGTGTGTGTGTGGCAGTGGTGGGTTTCAAAATTTTTTGGAACCTCTTCTGTAGGTGTGGCCTGCTTTCCGGGTCCACTGGTGGAACCTCTTCTAACTGGTTTGGTAGATTTGATGAACCGGTTCTACTGAATAGGTGCGAATTGGTAGGAACCCACCTCTGCTTGGACCTTGATGCTTTCATGCAGTGCCTAGCCTAAATCTTGGCTTTTCCATTCTCCCCTGTCCTTGATTCTTGACCAATTGCCAGTGGGATTTTTTTTTTCCTGCTTAGTGATTTGAAGGTTCAAGGTTTGCCCAATTTGGTGTGATTTTTTGTGTGTCCCTTGACCCTTCCTGGACTTCTTTCTTCTCTTCTAGAGGACGTTCTGGACGAGGACACAGTGAAGCTGAAGGTTGCGCTGAGGGTAGCCCGCCAGGACCTCACCAAAGCTCAAGTGGACCTGAACACCATGCAGGCAAACTACGGAGATGTGGTGCCCAGAAGGGACTTTGAACTGCAGCAACAAAAATACAATGATTTGGATGATAAAGTACGTTAAGAAAGAAATGTAGGAAAATTGGCAAATTCTCCATAATGGAGGAAGAGATCTAGTATTGGCTGTCCTTTCCACACACTTTGAAGCAGGGCTGTCAAACTTGATTTCATTGAGGGACGCATCAGGGTTGTGTTTGACCTCAGGGAGCCGGGGTGGGTGTGGACAGCTGGACCTCACTCGTGTTGGGGGCACCTCTGGTGGCCTACGCACTCTGCCAGCGAAAACAGGCTCTCGAGCTCTGTTTTTGGCTGCGACAGCCTCCTGCAACCGTCTACCAACAAAAATGGAGTTTGGGAGGGCTGCCTGCGGGCCGCTCAAGCTCTGTTTTCATTGGCAGAGGCACTGTGGGCCACTCCTTTGCTGTTTCCAGGGCCAGATCTAAGCACCCTGCGGGCCGGATCCGGCCTCCAGGCCTTCAGGGGTTGAAATTCTGCAGGTTCTGGAGAACCGGTAGCGGAAATTATGAGTAGTTCAGAGAATTGGCAAATACCACCTCTGGCTGGACCCAGAGTGGAGAGGGAATGGAGATTTTGCAGTATCCTTCCCCAGCCACGCCCACCAAGCCACACCCACCAAGCCACGCCCACAGAACCGCTAGTTTAAAAAATTGAATTTCGCCACTGCTTGAGTTTAACACTCTTGCTCTAGTGGTAGAACTTAAGTAGAAACCAGCAAATCTATCTCCTTGCGTAGGAAGAGATCTTTCGAATTCTATTTACGCCTAACCGGAGTTTGTTTGTCCATTTTCTTCTCCATTTTCTGATTTTTAACGATCTTCCCGGGAGATATTTTAATTCTTTTCCACCTCCTCAGTCCAGAAGATCGCTTACCTAGAACTTCAGATCTTCTGTTTATTCTCATCCTTTGTTCTTCTTACCCTTCAGTTGTCAACTCTTCAAAAAGATTTTGATGACCTTCAGGAGGAATATGACATCATGTTGGATATACACAAACAAGTTGCAGAGGACCGAGATCGCTACTTCAATGACCTCATCAATGTCCAGCGGACGTCTACACCTCGCCCCGACTGGAGCAAATGTGGAGGTACAATTTAATGCAACCGACATTGCACAGGTAGTCCTCAACTTACAGCAGTTCATTCAGTGACAGTTCAAAGTTACAACAGCACTGAAAAAGGGACTTATAAGCATTTTTCGCACTTATGACCGTCGCAGCATCCCCATGGTCACGTGATTTATTTCGGCTGCTTAGTAACTGGCTCGTATTTATGACGGTCGCCGTGTCCCGGAGTCATGTGGTCGACCCCCTTTTGCGACCTTCTGGCAAGCAAAGTCAACCGAGTAGCCAGATTCACTTAACAACCAGGTTACTAATTTGAGAGGTACAATGATTCAATTAACCACCGTGGCCAGAAAAGTGGCAAAAAGAGGCAAAACCCGCTTAACAAATTTCTCACTTGGCAAGGTAAGTTTTGGGCTCAACTGTGGTCGTAATGTGAGGACTAGCTGTATTTATTCTAGCCTTCTGTTACGCATATTTTTTACAGCGGGTGATTAAAAAAACATTTAAAGTGCTCCTCCTTGTTTCAGATTCCTGTCCTGCCTGAATATTCTATTCCTCTCCCTACAGATGTGGTTCTTGGTGGAAATGAACGCTGGAATAACTTGTCGGTGGGCAAAACAAGCGACCAGCTGCTCGATGTGCTTTTGGAGGAAATTGGCGGGGGTCTCCTAAGAGAGCGGGATACCTTCATCGGGCGGGTATGGTTGGGCTTGCAAGTTGTGGCTTTTTTAAAAATTATCTTTTATTTTTCAACATATAAACATTTTATCTTTGCTTAAACAGTGTGTTGTCGGGGTACCAATATCTCTGTACGACAGCTTTCAGCATTTACAAGATCATTCACATCAATGTTAATAATAAAGGACGTGGCGGCTCAGTGGCTAAGAGGCTGAGCTTGTCGCACAGAAAGGTCGGCAGTTCGGCGGTTTGAATCCCTAGTTGCCACATAACGGAGTGAGCTCCCATCCCAGCTTCTGCCAACTTAGCAGTTTGAAAGCATGTAAAAATACAAGTAGAAAAATAGGAACCGCCTTTGGTGGGAAGGTAACAGCGTTCAATGCGCCTTTGGCGTTTATTCATGCCGACTACATGACCACGGAGACGTCTTCGGACAGCGCTGGCTCTTCGGCTTTGAAACGTAGATGAGCACCGTCCCCTAGAGTTGGGAATGACTAGCACATATGGGGAACCCACCGTAAGCAGTTCTTTTTCTCCACAGGGAAGAAGCGAAAAGGTTCCCCCATATCTGAGATGTGATGGCGTGGTTAGAAACAAGAAGCTGTCCAAGAAGGAAGTCGTGGCTCTTTTGAGGGAGATCTGGAAGGAGAAAATTATATCAGATCAACAGGTCTCTTTGCTTTTTCTCTCTCTCCTCCTATAGGGGCGAATGAGTCTCTCTAGAGCTGACATCCAGGATAACGTAGCTGGCTGAGGGGTTGGGTTTAGCCTGAGGAGATCCAGGAGCCCCCTGAACATGGGTTGCTCTGGGTCAGGGGTCATCGACCTGCGGCTCTGGAGCCGCATGTGGCTCTTTCATCCCTCTGCTGCGGCTCCATGTGCTCAAAATATGTTTCACAAACACCAGGATGCGATTTATTGAGCTTTAAGCCTGAGGAGGCACACAGGATCAGATGGTTCAGTGGCTAAGACGCTGAGCTTGTCGATCAGAAAGGTCGGCAGTTCGGCAGTTCGAATCCCTAGCGCTGCGTAATGGAGTGAGCTCCTGTTACTTGTCCCAGCTTCTGCCAACCTAGCAGTTGAAAAGCATGTAAAAATGCAAGTAGAAAAATAGGGACCACCTATGTGTTGGAAGGTAACAGCGTTCCGTGCATCTTCGGCATTTAGTCTTGCTGGCCACAGAGACGTCTTCGGATAGCGCTGGTTCTTCAGCTTTGAAACGGAGATGAGCACCGCCCCCCTAGAGTCAGAAACGACTAGAACAAATGTCCAAGCGGAACCTTTACATTTACCTTAATCTATTTGGAGTTAAACATCAAGTATTCATTAAAAGTAAAGCACAGTTAAGTGTCTTTACTTGCATTGTGCGAAGCGGTCATATTAGCAAGAGAGAATTTAGCACCCACTTTGGGAAGAGGGAGTTCTGGAGTCTGCATCCTAGAAAAAGGGAGGCCAGGTGGAAACTGGAGGTTCAGGCAGCGACCCCCTCTCTTAATTGTGGCCCAGTGAGAAGGAGCTTGGGTTTTGCAGTTGAGGAAGGGGCAAAAAAATCCTCCTTTCTTTTAATACAAGTAGTCCTCAATTTATAATCATTTTGTTTAGCAACTGTTTGAAGTTACAGCAGCACTGAAAAAAATGGTGACCAGCTCTCGCGCTTGTAACCATGGCAGCATCCCCATGGGTCATGTGATCAAAATGTGGGCGCTTCGTGGCGAGCATGTATTTAAGGTGGATGCCGCATCCCAGGGTCACTTGATTGCCATTTGTGAAACTTCCCAGCCGGCTTCTTACAAGCAACGTTAAGCCAAATTTGCTTCATCACCACGTAACAACTGCAGCGATTCACTTAACAATTGGCCAACGGCCGATAAGAACTCACAGGCTAGGCCTCCTCCGGGTGCCGTCGACCGGACAATGCCGGCTGGCGACCACTCGGGGGAGAGCCTTTTCTGTAGCTGCTCCGGCTCTGTGGAACGATCTGCCCGCAGAAATCCGGACCCTTCCCACTCTCGTGGCCTTTCAAAAAGCCACCAAAACCTGGTTGTTCCGGCAGGCCTGGGGCTGTTGATCTATGAATCAGGTCCAGCCCCCAGCTAAGCTGAATGTATGTTGTGTTTTTT